ATATGGACATGTTTTTGTTTGGTGATATGCTAAGGTGGGGAAGAAATAATTGCATAATTGGCTTTAAAACGCACGAACGACTAAATAATCTCGTCGCAGGAAGAAAGGGATTAGATTGGTGGAAACGTCTGAGCGATGTGTGAGATTGGCCACGCAGTTGACAGGGCAGACGCTTCAAAGGGAGACGGAATTTAGGGCAAAGTTAGGCGGAGGGATTGAAATGCGTGTAGGTGGCGCAAGCTGACGCTCGATACAGGGGCTATCTGTATAGGCACCACCATTCACATATGCATTCGTTTATCCATCAACCGATTAACGCGTGGGCAAGCGCGTTAACCCTCAGGAGGCGTTAATGCGCGTCCGCCGGAACCTCTTCTTGAAAAGGTGTCGTAAACTTCCCTCCTAGTCCACCACAAAGAATAAAAAGGGGAAGTAAGTATACACGCTAGCCAGCCAGTGCGACCTTCCGGATGTGACGTCACAAACACCAGTTGATCTATGCAGAGCATGTCAGCTCTTCCTCGTCAAACAGGTTGTCTGGTGAAACAAACAAACAAACAAGCAAAAATTTTCATTGGACCGAATTATTCTTTATTGCCTATAAATTGGGTAAGAAGTAGAGAGGAGTGAATTTCTCAGAAGTGGAGTCCTTCCCGAAACAAATAGCGGGGTAGAGAACGGGACGCCCCGAGGCTGCGTGTGGCATTGTTCTACGAGACCGAGCTAAACAAGTTTTGGCTATGACTACATTTTTCCATTTACTAAGAACTGTTAAGTGTGTAGCTTATGCGTCAATTTTAAGCAATTTTCATCGAAGGGGAGTGGGGAGGCACTCGAGCCTTACCTGCTATCCTTGTACTCACCTCAAGGCCTGTAGTAAAAAAGAGTCCGGCTTCGCGCGGAGCATTACTAATTTTCCTTTTTATGCTGACAGTTAAGATGCACGCTGAATTAAAACTTTGGATTGGGCTGGTTGGTTCATTAGGATCTAGGAAACTCAAAAGCGAAGAAAAAAATAAATAAAAAGATTACGGACCAGCAAGAGAGACAACACGGTGAATTTTAGATAGCTATATGTTGGTTTATCAAGAGGTACATGTTTCAACAGCCAAAATCATTGTCGCTTCCTCGACAACCAAGTCGTGGAAGCACTATGCTTCGCGCAGCGTGTGAACGCTGCATGCGCAAAACTTGCTTTTTAGAGCGCAGCTCTTAGGTGCCCGTTCCCGGCTTGAGCGGCGTCGGCGTCGCCGTCGGCGTAACCGCGCGCTGCATTATGGAACGAGTGACGTAACTGATAACGTCATCAGTGACGTCATTGGCATCGTCATCGTCACTGATGACGTCATCAGTGACGTCACTGATGACGTCATTAGTGACGTCATCGTCATCCACATCGCCATCGTCTTTGATGACGTCATCAGTGACGTCACTAATGACGTCATCGGCATCCGCATCGTCACTGGTGACGTCATCGACATCGTTATCGTCACTGATGACGTCATCGACATCGTCATCGTAACTGATGACGTCATAGTCATCGTCACGTGACCTCAAAGGGGCCACGTGACCCCGTGAGGTCACGTGACCCTAGTGAGACGACGGCGACGCCGCTCGGAGAGAGGAGTAGCAGACAGGATGAAGAGGTGAGAAGGAGGGAGGAAGGATATACCTTCCCCTCCTCCTCCTCAGGACCCTTCCCCTCCTCCTCCTCAAGAGCTGCGCTCTAATCCGGCGTTACAGGGAGCTGTAAAAGGCTTTTATTTTTTCATGGTTTGACCACGAGCATAGTACTTTCTGATTACCAGAAAACCGCTCTGACCTTTGGTTTATCCACCTGAACACACCACCATCGAGAAGATGTATTCGAAACAAATCCATCTTTCTTTTTTTTTTTGCAAGAAATTGAGGAGTTTCAGCGAATATAGGGGGCGCTCCGATCGATCCAACATGGCGGACAAGAGGGGGATAGATTTGCGACGCCCGTAGACCGGTAGCGTATAAATATAACAAAGCGTGTCGTTCTCTGCTTGTTGCCGTGTGCGAGGCGATCATCGTTTCAACCAAGACCTACCGTGATACTACAGATGAAGTGTTCAAGCCAATCGAAGGCAAGAAATCTTGCCATAGTCAAGATATGTGTGGAAGTGTTCGACGTGAGCTCTCACGCTGGTGCAGCTGTCATCAAGTTGAACCGAATGTACTCGGGTCCAAAGTAAGGTACATATCAACAATGTTCACGCGTTGAAACTATGACGCGTACTTTATCTAAGACTAAACTTATCGGTCTGCGGCTACAAACATTTTCGTTGACGTTGCTTAGACGATGTAACCATTCAGGCCTCGCATTAAAGGGTGTTGCGAACTCTTCGGTTGTTCTAGTTAATTGTGCTAAAAAGCGGTTGGATGGAAAGTATGACAGCTACAGCATACAAGGGACGATTGAGGTCTTTATCCTGCGTTCTATGTATCGAAACATCGGTATCCTTGGTGTTATATTGCGATCAGCTGGTCGCCGATCGTCCTGTTTTTACGCATAATGTAAACAAGCCCCGGAAGCGCCAATCTCATTTCGATGTGCTTGTGCACCCCTACAAGCCTCGTTTTGGCTCTTGTGGAAAGCCTTATTGTAATAGCAATAGTCTCATCGGTCATTCGAGTTGTATGTGCCACGGTGATATCTGCTGACAAACAAGTCTGTATTAAATGCGAGAAGGAAAACGAAGGTAAAGCTTTTTTTAACTGTTTTCTTTTTACAAAACAGGGCTAAGCTTCTAAAACAAGAGCAAACTAAGCTTACATTTCAGTGTGCTCAAGAATGAATGCCAAAGGTGCTTATGCTAAGTGGTAGATGTACGCAGTTGATTTTCTGTTTGCCTCTGCATTGTAAATTGGAAGATATGTATCAGCAGAAGACACATGTCCTTTTGAAAATGTCTTATTAGGGCAAAAATAGGTTTTCATACACAACCTAAAAGTTTGCAACACCATTTAATGCAGGGCCTGAACGGTTACATCATCTAAGCAACATCAACGAAAATGTTTGTAGCCGCAGACCGATAAATTTAGGTTTAGATAAATATGCGTCATAGTTTCAGCCTCAAACACACAACATTGTTGATATGTAGCTTTCTTGATAACTGCACCAATGTGAGAGAGCCCACGTCGTCGAACACTTGCACACATATCTTGTCTATGGTATGGCAAAATTTCTTGCTTGAAGTGAAGATCATCTTGCTAGCATTGCTACGACTAGCTACGACCACCCACTGCAGCGATGCAGGCGTCGAAGGCGCTCAACGCAGTCAGTCGCCGTCACCCGACGTTTTTTCGTTTGGCATTCACGGCTTTCCGCCCAGGAGCTTCGTTTGTAGTTGGCACCAAGTGTTATTTTCTGTGCTTGTGTGTGCTCAGTGGCTAGATATGGGCCTCAAGAGCAGTTCTTCAGGCTCAATAGCGTTCGCCGAAGAACTTCTGAAGAAAATGCCACCCAGGAAAAAAAAGCATGAAGATGCAACGCACCAGCTTGGCGGACTATGCACTGGGCGCGGAAATCGGGCCCTGCGGATAATACACCAAATGCAAACTATCTAAACAAAATAAAAACATTTTTAGGCTCAAATTGGCTTCTGCGTACTATACGCCTGGACACTGGTGCCTGTTATTATGCATTGTATATTCACTGCTGTTTGTTGTAACTTGAGACTGGCTTCCTGTAATGATGCAGAGGGGTCCACTGAACCTTGAAATAAAGATATTTAAGCATATCTAGATGCAATGTCCCTTGAAGCCAGATGGTCAGGGAAAAGGTGTGTCATTACCTAATTTGCCAACAGCACACCAATGGTCACAATCAACACTCACCGAGTCAATGGGCAGTTTTTCACCACAATATTTATTGCCGTGTAATCACCAATTCGGTCCATTAAAAATCTTGAGGCTGTAGCCTATAGCACATCCATTCTAGATCTGCAAAGCTTATGCTGTAGACATGCATCATCACATGAGCATGTTTCTTATCAATATTAAACGTAAAACGCTAGTTATGCAACGAAATTCCCATATCACCACATTTTTAGCAAATTGAATGGTCCCACCTGTCACACTGTTAGCTTTGGAAGTAAACCAATTCACAATACCACCAGTGGCATACATCGTGCCAAGCATTAGTGCCGCATGTGGCACAAAAATGTCCTAACTAGGGAAACAAACTTAATCGATCGTGTTGATTAAAGCATTTAAGTACGGGAGAAATTATCAATCAGAAGGTCACTCGAAAGGGAAGTTTTCTCGCTGAACGAATATGACTTTTTATTGGGCGTTCCGCAATGTAAGGCCGAAGACATTCACTCCGTGATCGGTACAGAAGCATTTGCTTGTGCGTGCTAAAAACAACAAAAACAAAAGTGGATTAGAAACGCCACAGATTCGCCTTTGCACGGAGTACTTACACTCAAAATCGTGTCAACATAAAGCGACTACGGCCCACCTTGCTAGCAGCAATCTTAAAATTTATCCGTGTAGTCATCGCACCCGTGCACCAACCGAAAGCGTTGCTGCAAGCCCTTCCGCCGTCCTCCGCCGTCAACTCTGAGTCGCTGTTGAGTCTGAAGAACTGCTTTATGAGGTCCATATCCAGCCACTGAGCACATACACAAGCACAGGAAATAATACTCGGTTCCAAGTACAAGCGAAGAACCCGGGGCGGAAAGCCCTGAATGCCAAACGACCTGCGTCGGGCGACGGCGACTGACTGCGTAGTACACAGGTTGCGCTCCTTCGACGCCTGCATCGTTGCGGCGGGTAGTCGTAGCAGATCGTGTCACCTCTGTTGCTCGTACCGAAACACTAGAGGCCCGTAATATTCTTGCTGCCGAAGTTTATAAGCCTACGTTCGCGGCCAACGCATATAAACAAAGCCAACGCCCAGCGAACCTATCCCCCTCGTTATCTTTCGGCGACCGGCCGCCAGGGCGGTGACACCGTCGCTGAAACTCCTCAATACTTTCGAGTCGCTGCAGGTCAAACCGGGACACGGCCAGAAGAAGCACGATCTCGAAAAAGAAGACGCCTCCATTCGCTCGCGCATCGTTGCCGGAGAGGACACAAAGACTACGAAGACGACACAGCGACGAACGGGCACGAGTAAGGCGATCCACGGGAACGTTCCAAGAGGTGCGGGTCGTTCCTCGAGAGAGCCCCAGTCTCCGGGGCTTGGTTGCGGCGGCTCGCAGCATGGACGAGGACCGGAGTCGCTGGGACCGGAAGGCCGAGCTGGTGCTGTGCTGCCTCGGCGTCACCATGGGAGTGGGAAACGTGTGGCGCTTTCCCAAGGCTGTCTACGAGGGCGGCGGAGGAACCTTCCTCCTGCCCTACCTGGTTGGTCCTCCGGCGACTAAAAGAAAAAAATGAGTCGAGTATTTCCTTGAGTCGAGGAGCGTTTCGAGTCGAGGTCGGTTTATGAAGCGCAAAAAACGGCCTCGAGTGCAGTTTTGAGCCGAAGCCCGTTTTTTTAATTCGGCTGTGAGCGTCGTTGCGCTCGCGATAGCTCTCGTGTTTATGGATACGCCAAGATGCACCGTCCAAATATATTTCGATAAGGACCGTTAGGCATCATCCTCCGTGTCACTAGTTGCGTGCAGTGCAGGCGAAGGCAACGCTATAGGCGAAGAGAGATAGGGCGAGCACGAGGAAGGAGGGACGGGAGGGGAGGGCAATGAAAGGCGAGGGGAGAAAGGGAGACCACTAAGAACGTTAGAGCTGAGGCTCAATTCTTTCTCCTTCTCAGCCTTCCTATAGTGCTCGCCATTTCTCCCCTCGCCTGACGTTACCTTCGCCTCTACTGCAAGCCACTGGTGACACATCGTATACATGAACTCCGAAAAGGACCACCCGGTACACCGCCGACGCCCTTGCACGTGCATTGCGGAACAGTCAACTAAAACTCCCAATTATCTACGCAGGGTTTTTCGTAGAATCTTGCTCTACAAGATATCGGGTGCTTTTAAAGCAGTAAATCTAACAGGAAGAGAAACGAGCGCGACAACTCCTGCACAACAAAGTCTGCAGTTAAGACCCCACGCGCTTTCTCTTTCTTGTCTAAATTTTCTTTTATTGATCATCAAGATCACGAATGGATTGAGCACATCATATAGATACGTATATGCACGCTTGAGCACTTGCTAGAAAGGGATAGTACGAGAGTAAACGGTGATGGCCTTCATGACAATAAGGTTGCAACCTCTTCCAGCTGACGCATTGACATCACATCAGCTGTCATTCTGGTGGACCTGATGCTGACCGCGGAGCTTCAGCAGAATCGATCTCGAACCACCGAATGTGTTCCCCATCGGCAAGAAGATATAAGAATGACCATGCACCAGCATAGTTCAGTGACGCCAGGTGCAAGTCTTAGATAGGTTTTTTTCCCTCGCATAATTTCGTCTACCATTTTGTTGTCCTAAGCTGTCTGCCGCCTGCCGAAAGCTAACATTACGAAGATTATGGTCCCGTAAAATATACGTATATGTGTACAAAAAAACTATACACAAACTCAACTCAATGAAGTCACGCCACTGTGGTGGAGCTTTTGTCGGCACTGCGCATGCGCAATGACCCGGACTTAATGTGGGCAAAGGCGGGTTTGTTTGTGACCTAAGTATTGGCCTATAAGTTCGATCACGCCGACATCTAACAACAAAATGTCGGATTGACGTCACCTGAACGCGACCCAACCTCCCCATGAAAAGTTAGACACCTCGAGCGTGCCATTTTTACAACCGTCACACAGGTGGCCTCCCTGCTGCTCGCCAAGCCGCTGCTCTGCCTGGAGATGTGCCTGGGCCAGTTCGCCGGCGCTGGCGTGCTGGCCGTGTTCCAGTGTTGCCCGCTGAGCCGGGGCCTGGGAGCCAGCCTCTGCGTGCAGGCCACGGGCTCGGCGCTGCTGGGCAACGTTGTGCTCGCGTACACGCTGCTCTACCTCTACCACTCCTGGAGCATCCCCTGGGAGACGTGCAGCGCGGACTGGGGCGCCAACATGACCACTTGCTTCGTCGCCGACGGCCGGGTGCGCTCACTTTCGCCTGGCATTCATCGAGTTTTTCAACGCTGCAGACAAGTTTCTTAAACAGCGCCTTAAGCGGCGAAGGAAGGAATTCTGGGAAATGGCTGTATCGAACCGGCTAGAGAAACTAAATACGCTTAGAGTATCGACACTCAGTTCCACGAAGGTCCGGTTGGCGCCACCATTTCGTGGCCGGGTGCAGAGCGGCTGCATTCGGCCATAGTTACGGTTCGCAAATCTTCTTGAGCATTGGTGACGGTCTCAGGAAGCACGGGCGATATGGTTCCGCTCACTAGCAGACTGTTTGTACATTCCTGATAGACGGTTCTGCGGTTTCAGACAGAGCTTCAGATGACTGACAACGATAATTTTAAACCACAAGACGGCTGAAATGCCGTTACTTTGAAGTGTACATTAGTAATTTTAGAACCGACTGTAGCACGCGACTGAGGGACGCAAGCGGGCGAGGGCAGGTGCATAGTTGCGCTGCTCTCCCTTAAAGAGCAGCATACAGGATGTTCCCATAATTCACTGGGAGGCTGGCGCGTGGCCCTTTGGGAGGTTTGCACCGGGTCTATTGAGGGATGCGTATCAAGAATATAGGGAAATTACAAACACGTATAATTATAACTGAGCGGGAGAACGTCTCGTAAATATATTTGCGCGCTGGAAAGAATGCGGTGTTGATTTACGAAGACGCGTTTCGGTGAACTGTATGTGATAAGTGTAGATTATTATGGTTATTGTCTACGGGATCACTGAATTGCAACCTTCTCCTCGGTTCTTTGAAGCGTTGCGACGGCGGGCCTTCGACCCAGATGTCGCCATCTACATCTTCATCGACAACTTCATACGCGTCCTTGTCCCCGGCAACGACCGGCTCTACCACGGACTGCCGCAACGGCACCGAGTTGGCCACCTACCAGTACTGGTAGTGAGTACAGGAGGATGTTGTGTATTTATTCCGAACAGAAAGCTGACAGCGCCTCCTTCAAAACGTCGTAGCTTGCACTCTCTTTTTCAAAAGACTTGCATGTACTGTCGTCACGGCAAAAAGAAAACACACACACACACAAAAAAAAAAATAAAAAAATTTAAAGACGCGAAAGTTCCGGCGCGCGCGTCCGTTTTAAGTCTAACAGTCTTGGGCAAGTTACTTTTAAAAAGTAATTAGTTACAGTTACAGATAGTTTGACAAAGAATGTATTTAAGTTAGTAACTTAAAAATAAATTTAACGCGTTACAGTTACTTCGTTATAACCGTAACTTAGTTACTTTCAATATACTTTCGTTTTTCTTTTTAATTTAACTATGAAGACATTGATGACAGCTCAAGATGAATACGACTGGTACTTATTTTTTAGGTATATAACATTACCTTTGCACGACTTTGTTGAATCAAAGCGTTTGCTGCTTCAGTGCAAGATGGATAAATAATAAATTATTTAGTTCATGTAACGCAGCAGCAAATACTTTTTTTAAGGTATCATCACTTAACCTTCCCCTTCTGATGCTGGCCCCTTTCCTTGATAAAGAGGCGCTCAACAGATGCGCTTGACGGCAGCGCAGTATTCAGGTGCAAAAAAGAAAAGAAAGTTTTCCTAATGGTGGGAAAGTCGTTGAGGCTAGAGAGCGTTGTCGAGGTTCCAGCCTTCCATCGTTCCGTCTCCATGCCTAGCGGCAATGTCCAGAAATGGAAGTCGAACCCCACCCCGCAGTGCTTGCGAAGGTCGGAGGAAGAGGACCTCCCGGCTGCGTATACTTCTTTTTGCAGTGAAGTTATCGCCACTATACTCGACAAGGTCAAAGTGCATCATAGCCGGGCCACGGTAACACCTACCGTCCGTCACTTATGGCAGCCTCTCGTTTGAGCGATAACGGTTAGTTACAATAATAACATTTTCATATTTTCTGGCGACATTCTCTATCTTTTCCTCTTTCTCTTAAAAGGCAACTGAAAAGAAAGAAAAAAATAGTTTTTTTTTTAAACAGTTTGGTCGTGACAGGCGTGTCAATAAATTAATTTTACGCGAGAAAAGAAAATAGAGCAATATTGACGGCGCGAGATTTTCCAATTCTGCGCGCAAAGTCCACGATGTCACGGAATGGTCTCTTTCTCCCTCAACGAAATGATCATACGCTCTTTCGACCTCAACGTGAATTCGAAGCCGATCGTTCCCTCCTCCACGCGCCCGAAATGCCGAGAGGAAGAAAACGTGGAGAGGAGGGGACTACCGACTGAATCCCGCCTCGCGCCACCAATCTTGGTCTAAAAGATTTTTTAAACCATTTGCATCCGAATAAAAAGCAAAATACCGCAGTCTCTAACCAGGTAAAGAAAGGAGTGAACAAGAACAACACAAAGTCGTCTCGGAATGAGTTTCGCTTTTCTTTTTAATTTCTTCTATGTAACGCTTAAAAAGAGACTCGCGGACTCACGGCCCCAGGGAAAGGGTGTGTCGACCATTAGGAACATCGTCTGTGGCCCTGGCCAGAGCCTTTTATACTGGGAGAGTTCGGCGGTTCTTTGATCCAGCCGCCAGTCTGGCAGCACTGCTCAAACAGTCTGGCAACTGTGCGCATCCGCCATGATGTGCCTTGCCGTCTAGCTTGATTGCACCTTTGCATTTAATTGCATTATAATTATAACCTTAAATTGCAAGCTTCACCCTTGTTTGCTGTAAGGCTGGTGGCGGTTGATAAAACCTGTTTGCCCTACTGACTCGAGCCGGCAGTCGGCTCGCTAGAGTCCATGAAGCGAGAGACGACGATGAAAATGATCGTTCTGCGCTCTGCCAGACGTTAGATGAAAAAGAAATGGGGGGCTGCAGTGCCGTTGGGTGCTCGAACAACGCGAAAAAGGGGTTCAGGATGTACCGGTTCCCGCAAGGAAAAGAAAACCGCGCAAGGCGCAAGATCTGGGAAACCAAACCAAGAAGGGCTGACTGGAAGCCGAGTTCTCGATTGTGCGAGGTAAGTTTATGATTAACGCATGATTAACGTAACAAAATGCTTGATCTTTCGACTTTCTGCTTACGCCAACAAAAGCGCAAACGGCAAAACCTACACGCGTATACATCGCATGTCAATGGGGACCCACTCGCCGGGAGGCACATCATGGCGGAAGCGGCGCCCGCTAAGTCCGCTAGACCTAGCGGGCCGTAAGCCCCTCCCACCCGCCGAACTCTCCCAGTATAAAAGGCTCTGGCCCTGGCCAGACAGAGTCAACTGGCAGCAACTCGCATTCAAAAAAAAAAAAAAAAAAAAAGAAGTTATTTTTGCGACTGTTTCGTCACCGACTACAGAGGCTCTCGTTCGGCGTTGAACAGTTA